TGTGTGTGTGTGTGTGTGTGTGTGTGTGTGTGTGTGTGTGTGTGTGTGGGTGCGCGTGCGCGCGTGTGTACATGCATGCATGCGTGCATGTCTGTGTGTGTGTGTGAAAACATCATACAATAATGTGAATTACACAATAAAACATATTCTGGAGTCCAGTAATCAATTCAATTTCACACATATCATGTCTTCCTATTTGAAAAAAAAAATGTATCTTCTTTTGAAGAACTCATTGTGGTTGGTTTGCTATCAGAGGCCCACACCTGTAATTCCAGCCCTTGGGGTGCTGAAGCAAGAAGATTTCAAATTTAGAATCAGCCTGAGCTACACAGTAACACTCTTGGAATCAGCCTGAGCTACACAGTAACACTCTGCTACGAATAAATAAGCAATCAAACAAATCCATTATTTACCATTCAGCCTTGACCTAGAAGCTGTCTGCTACCTCTGGAACTTGAAGCTCCTTCCTTCTGTCAAAAGAAAATGGATTTTTTTAATAAGCTTCTTTGTGAAGACAGAAGGTGAGATGCTTGCATTAGTCTTTCTCACTAATGAGAGTACACACAAGAAAGTTACTTTCAACAAATAAACCTTGTGCTTGTAACACTGAGTGATATTATAAAAACAGAAAAACTGTAGGTGTTATAAAACTGTAATTACAAATGGATGTTAAAGTGTGGGTAGCATTTTAAACTGTTTTTATTTACAAAAGGGTGTTAGTTCATGAGTTTGGGTTTTCAAAATAGGTCTTGTTATGTCCTCAAGCCTTTCCCTGAATTCATAGTTCTGCGATAACCTCCCCCATAGCTGGAGCAACAGGCAGGTACTCCCTAGGAACCTAGACTACTTACATGTTGTGTGACTGGCACATCAAAACTGTGTGTTTGTGGGGTCTGATTACTATTGAAGGTCATAGAGCAGGGCACACAGGCCAGGAAAAAATGTTATTTCCCTCAGATTCTAAACATGTTATTAACATGCCAGCAGAAATAGAAGGTCACTATGGACACTAAAAGTTCATGAACTCTCTCTGAACTATCTGAACTGTTTCTAGGTCAAGAGCCAAGTACACAATGGTGGATGGCACGGGTGTCTCCTGCATATTGCACTGGGCAGGTGCAAACATCACATCACCTCACTAAATCCTCATCTCCTCTAGTCTAACTCAATATTGCACCTCCATGCATACCCTTCTCAAGAAAAAAATCTGATGTCCATCCACCGGAAACATATCCCAGACCAGCTCTCCTTCAGCTTGGGAGAGTCAGATGAGAATGTACTAGGTATCCATCTCAGATAATTCAAACCTGCTAGACCATCTCAGGGAAACAGATGAGGTTGTCATTTTCTACAAAAAGGGAAATCAACTCTGATTTCTAAAGCTTTTGAGTTCAACTATCACCATATTCACTGCACTGAACTTTTTCTCTTGGTATTTGTTGTCTGTGAACAGATTCATGTAAGATAATTATGTTATGTAAGATGAATACTTATATAAGATACTACTTATGTAAGATGAATAGAAGTGAACAGGGGAAATTATTTCTAATTTTATAATTGAAAACTAAGAGTCCCAAACAATGAATCTAACGTATCTCCTTCTTTGTCTCCCACTTTTTCCTAAGGTCATTCTACACACACACACACACACACACACACACACACACACACACACACACACACCACTTCATTCCCAAAGTGTCTGCTTTCTATGCTTTGTCTGTGAGAGCTCGGTAATCCATTACAGAATCTGGTCACATGTAAGAGTGCTCTGCAGTCCTCTGTTTCTCCTCCTTCCATTGCTTACATAGGTCAAATGACCAGACACAGGCTGTGTTCCTGTAGTACAGTGGAGAATAAAATAAAAAAGAGCCATGTAAGCAGAGCAAGAGTAACAAGCGAAAATAGGAAGCACTCTAACCACATACCAGCTGATCGAAAATACATAGAGATGTTTTTCCTAAAGTCTTTAGGGTAGAAGAATGTGTTTCTAATCCAAAGTTTTATTTTGCATAAGCTAGAATAGCATGGAGGCAAGATGTTGCATCTTCTCCTTTTGAATTAAAGACATTGATTATACACAATCCTGCTATTAATATGGCTTCAAATGTCTGACTTCATAATGCTTTCAAGCTGCAGAGTATTATTGTACATGATTTCTTTTGAGACAATGTCCCCAATGGCTCTATCCCTAGATGAAAGAAGTGTGAAGGAAAATGGGGGCATAATTATAGACTCCCATCTTTTGCCTTATACTGTTTCCATTCCCCTTTTCATAATTTTATAATTTGATACATTAATAATGGAAGTACTATAAAAATGTATGTTTTTCTTTTTTATAGAAATATGCAGTGAATTATTATATATAGTCATACTACCACCAATAGCAAAGCAGAACTCATCTACTTATATTCAGTACCTATTTATCAATATGGTTCCATTAAGAATGAGTATTATCAAACAGACCAAGGAAAATAGGTGATAGCAAGGATATTTAAAAAAGAGAAACTTTGTGCATTGTTAGAAATGTAAGTTATTATAGCTGTTATAAAAAAGCACTTTGTAGGGTTATCAAAAAATGAAAAATAGGACTACCATGTGATCTGGCAATCTCATTCACAGGTGTGTAAACAAAGGAAGAAAAGTTTATGTCAAAGGTGTATCTGCCCTCCCATGTCCATTGTGTCACTATATATCATCAATTAAAGGAAATGTGATATATATGTATACACACACATACACACACACACACACACACACACACACACACACACACACACACACATATATATATATATATATATATATATATGACTAATTCTTGTTGATTTAAAAAAGTAATAATGTGCTGGGCGGTGGTGGCGCACGCCTTTAATCCCAGCACTTGGGAGGCAGAGCCAGGTGGATCTCTGTGAGTTCAAGGCCAGCCTGGGCTACCAAGTGAGTTCCAGGAAAGGCACAAAGCTACGCAGAGAAACCCTGTCTCCAAAAACTAAAAAATAAAAATAAAAATAAAAAATAAAAAAGTAATAATGTATGTGACAACATGGATGGAAGTAAAGATCATTATGTGAGGTGAAATAAGCCAGGCACTAAGAGACAAGTATTGCATGGGTTCATTCATATGTGAGGCATTCAGACGTCAATCTCAAAGAGTAAAGTGTTATTTGCTTTTTTTGTTTGTTTGTTTGTTTGTTTGTTTGTTTTGGTTTTTTCGAGACAGGGTTTCTCTGTGTAGCTTTGCGCCTTTCCTGGATCTCGCTCTGTAGACCAGGCTGGCCTCAAACTCACAAAGATCCACCTGCCTCTGCCTCCCGAGTGCTGGAAAGTGTTATTTGCAATAAGCCAGGAGAGACAGGAGAATATATAAGAGTCAAAGAAGTCTAAGAGTTAGAGAGAGTAAAG